TACTATGGCATACCAAGGTTCCATTAAAAGTATCTACTTTTGCATGGAAAACCTTACAAAACAAAATTCCCACAAGTGATAATCTGATTAAAAGATGTGAAATACAGAGATATGACAACAGAGAAGTGAAACACATGATAACTGCTGAACCATATAGATAGAAAATGTGAATCATGATCTCTACCTCACCACCAACAGCCAATCTAGAACCCTCACAGTTAAAAGCTAGTGCTAACTGTTGTCCAACATTTTCTAAAAGCTTCACGTCTTTCACGTCTTTCTCTGGCACCACACCTGGTTTGTGGACTTCCGCCTCATCACATTCTTTCCACTTAAACAATCTTCAAGGAAAACCAAATGATAAATAAGAAATTCTTAAATTATAACGAACAATATGCTTAACTGCAAGACAGCATCACATAAAGATGAACATCTATGGAGCCAAGATCTTTTCATAAGGATAGAGCCAGTTAGTAGAAAAGAAGTAAGCCATTACATGAACCAATAAATAAACCATCATGCACAGTGGATTAGACAAGAACTAGCACCACTCTATGTTATAAAGCAGATCTTCTTAAAGACCAGAATAATAAATACATGTAGCACCAAGGCACAACCATTTAATTTTCTGTAAAGTACATACAGGGTCCCCAATCCCATTAACTGTATAAACTATTAGGTCATATTTGGTTCAAAAAAGTTACTATTCCATAGTTGAAGCATGATTAAAGTAAAATTGAGGAAGCAACTGACAAAGTTGAAATTAGTATTTGATATTATTACCTACTTTCTTCTAGTAAGTGGGAACAGGTTGTTGAAAACTAATATCACCTTCCCCTAGGTTTTATTTATTACCACTATATTCTCACTTATTAGAAGAAAATGAGAAATCATGAATAGTCGTTCCTTTTTTTGGTGATGCCCTCACCCTATTTTACTTTATTTTCTTGCAATGACCATGCAACAGTTATTCCATTACACCAAAACTGCAGGCTTGCTACTTTAATCATCCTATTTTCTAAAACTGTAGAAAACTTCAGTCTTCAACTTCACAGCTTCCTTAACTTTCTTGTGCAAAACTTTTATCTCAAAATTTTCAAACCTTCAAACACCAAAAGGTCTATCATCAATGGAGAGTCTAACAAATTCATTTTCTTGATATTGAATGGCATGAAAAACTTGTTAAAAATATAAATAAAGACATATTTTATCCATTTTAGAATCTCATACTCTGGGAGAGAGTGGGACATTACTTGCCACACACACAGACCTCTGAATTCATCAACCAAACAAGCATAGAAATTGAAACCTGAAATGGATCCTTCACTATTGATTTTCCTCATGAGTTGCTCAAGTAAAAATACGTGAAAACAAATTAAAAGTACATTAATAAACAAAAAACAACAATACCTGCAGCAGTTTTGCATCCCACAGATAATGCCATCTCCACGTGGATGAACAGTCATTCGGTAAGGCAAATCAGAACCAGTTTTATACTTAATCACCTAAATGGTAAGATAGTAGGTCATAAACAACAATGCAGCTGGGCAATAGAGGCAACACGAATTTCCAAGAAATATGCAGAATCACATTTCACACGAATTTTCGACAAATATGCAGAATCACATTTCACATATAATCCAATCATGCTGTCAAATCAGAAAGAACGAACGCATGAAAAGCCGAACTAGCAGAAGATAAGTACTTCATAATTAGCCGTAAATATCAAGACAAACACAACGCTAACAATTAGCAGCAAATATGAAAGATCCAAATATCATATCATTTCCAGAGCTTAAAAAAGAAGGAAAATTGCATAATGCCGATTAATTGTAATGGCAAATCCAAAATCCGAAATGATGATATACATACCGGTTGCTCCGAGAGAGAATTAGAGGCGAAATCAAAGTGAGAGACAACAATAGCATTGGGGATGCCGCTGCGGCCTTCACCACCGCCCCCGGCGAGAACGACGTAGTTATTGTGGTCCGTCGTCCCCAGCGGCGGCGAGGAGTTGTCGTCTTTGGATGGAGTCCGATCATCTTCCTTTTTGTCTTGGGATGAGAGCTTGGATCTGATGTGGTGGTAGGGAACCCAAGCAGCTCCGTAAAACGGCACGCCGTATTTCCGAAGGTTGGGGCAGACGTCCGCCATCGTGCTGAGATTCAGTCTTAGATCGACTGGGATGCGAAGACGAGGGATCGTAGTAGCAGTTAGGGGTGTTCGATGGGGGTGTTCATCCCAAATCCGATCGTATAAATCCGATCCTATTGATACGAACTAAACCCTAATTCAATCAAACTCCGATTCAAGCTTTATATAAAATTAAATAGGTTTAAATTCTAAAATTTTAAAATCGGTAATTGATTTTGTTTATAATTTTACTTTCTTAAAATATTAGATTACAAAATAATTAATATGGTTTGGTGTGATTTTTTATTAAATTTTAAAATTGATATAATTGATGTGGTTTAGTTTGAATTTTA